TGCTGAGTTCGTGTTCTCTAAAATTGAAGAATGGGCTCTAGGGACAACAGAGGTGAAGAGTAGAAAATACTTATTGAGAGGATGGCTCCAGGGAGGCAGGAGGACCCCACTTTACAGGGAAGTTTAACAGAGCAAAAGCCACATGGGTAGAATATGGGTTAAAGCTGCAATCTACCAATAAAGTCACAAGTGCAGTCTGTAGGTAGTAGTGATCCAACGGGGAAACAAGTCACACAGCAAGTGTGCGTGGAAAGAGCAAAGACTTTTTCTAGGAAGTGGTGGGTCCAGAGGTCTCAGTCCTTACCGGGCTGACTGAGGTCTCTCTAGACTTCACTAGTCTGGGTGTTACCACTTACTTTGTCCTTTGGGGAGCTGTGCAGGCCTGGTCATTTCATCTTTATCTTGAAGCCTGATCTCCAACAATGTGTCTCCTGCCACATTTATAAAGTGTTTCACCTTTCTCGAGGACCTAGCCCTATCTGACTACCTGTGATATTTCTGCCTAACTTAGCTGTCTGGAAGGATTAAATATGCTCTCTGTGTAGAGCCCTTAGGATAATGTTTAGTAGATAGTAAAACTGACAGCTGTCACTCCAGAGTGGCCACCTTGGCCTCCTAACAAGTTAGTCCCTCACCCCACTCCAATCCCTCACCTCATGCAACTGGGGAGATCTTTCACATGCAACTTAAAACTGTATTGCCATGGCTGACTGGGTCACAGAAAGGCGCCTTTGCAGTGTAGGACGCTTGTGGGATCCAGCCCTGCTATCCACTGGCTTCCCTGTTGCTTTCTTTCTCTGTGTCTCTGAGCTGCAGCCTCTCTGGTCTTCATCAAGCTTGAGCTGCTTTACCCTGCCCCAGGGCCTTTGCACAGACCTTCCCACCTCCCACCTAAACCCTCTAGCCAGGTAAATGTGCTTCTCCAGCCTAGTGCTTCTCTGATGGAATCCATGCCAGAATCTGTTCCTGAGCTCCTGTCCATGCTTTGTAGCTCTTTACACCTTCCCTCAAAGCACCAAATCCCAGGTTGTAATTGTGCTACTGGTGCACACATCAGATGAACACCTCCCCCAACACACAGGCCCACTTTAATAAGGACAAATAGCAGGGTGCCATTAGTCTAACAAAAAAGGAAATTAAATGAATGAATGCACCTAGCGAAGAGTGGGTGTTTCCGTCAGCCAGCCTCCCGCCCAGGGATCAGGAGCGCCCACCCTGCTGGGGAGGGGGTGGGCTCTTTATGGCAGAACCGAGGAACCTGAATGTGCTGCTCATTTCCCTCGAAAAGAGCCCTACTTAGATTCTTCAAAAATTGCCTTACATCTTTGTCTAAATTGCCAAACCATCACCACAACGACTCTCCCAGCAGCCCCGGTTGTCGTGAACTGGTCAGGTGCCAGGCGCTGGACTTTGCAGGTGCGCAGGTTCCCCTACGGTCACTCTGAGCCAGCACTGTTCACGATTCCAGCCACTGCCTCAGGATCCTGTGCTGGTAAGAGGTGGCTGAGGTTCAGATGTGGGGTATATGTCACCTCCGTGCTGCGTAAGGACAGCGTGACTGAGGTATTTTCATATACGTACAAGTCCCTGCATAAAGTGTGCAATTCAGCATTTTGTGATATATTCCCAGGCTTGTTTGACCATCTCCATGTCTATTCTGAAAACATTTTTGTCAACCCCAAAGGCAACTTTCTACCCTTTAGCACGCACTCTCCACTTTGCCCACCTTCAGCAAGAACTAACCAATTTTTTTTGGTTGGTTTGTTTGATTTTTTTTTTTTTTTTTTTTTTTTTTGGTACTGGGGATCAAACTCAGGTCCTTGCACTTGTAAGACAGGCGGTGGAACCACTGAGCCAAATCCCCAGCCCCTGTTTGATATTTTTTGAGACAGGGTCACACTGTGTAGTCTAGACTGGACTGAACTCAATAGCCCAGAATGGCCTTGAACTCGGGGCCATCCTCCTGCCACTAGGGTTACAGGCATGTGCTTTGTCTCTTTAGATTAACCTCTCTGTATCTCTGATACATTTTATATCAGAAACCTCTGCAGTAGGTTCTGGTCTTCTGCTCAGTGCTATAGCACAAGGATGACAAAAAAAAAAAAAAAAAAAAAAAAAAAAAAAAAAAAAAAAACAAACAGGGATCCAGGACAGCCAACGCTGCTCTATCAGCAAGGGCACTGGTCAGTGTAAGCCACTGAGTTTCATTGGTAATCAACTGGGGTAAAGGCAAGCTATGTGCAAGGACATGGAGTCATGCAGTTTCTATGGAAACCAGTGCACGCAAGGCTTGTAAAGGAGACAACGCTCCAATGAACAGAATAGACAAAAAAATATATGATTGTAGTTAGAACATTGTCCTTCTACTACTTAAGTTTTCACTGTGGGAACGAAATTTGGGTGAGTTACTCTGACCTCAGCATGTAGGCTTCAGCCAGACTCACTTCTCAAAACAAGCTAACTGAGGGGTTTACAGCAGGCTTTACAGTCTTCACTGCTTTCAGCCTGCTTTGGGCATAATCAATATTGCGGTCCCCTATAATTTTGTATGATTTAAATCATATAAGGTGTGGATCTGTTTGAATTTGCCCTACTTGGCTTCCACCAAGTTTATTAGGCAGACTTAGATTCATCATCACATGGGGGAAGAGTTCAGCCCTTATGTCTTCAAATATTCTTTCTTTTCAAGTAGCTGTCTCTGTTCTGAGATTCCCACTCTGTGCCCCGTGGTACATTTGATAATGTCTCAAATGTCTCTGAGGCTTGGCTCACTTTTCTTACCGCCCCCCACAGATGGCTACTCTCAGTTTGGCTATCTTCAGGTTTGCTGATGCTTTCTTCTACTGGTTCAGATATGGTGCTGATTCTCTCTCAATTGTACTAGACTTTTATTTGTTTTATGCTGAATCGATTCTTCCCATTTCATAAGGGCTGTCTTTGCATTCCTGGAAACTGAACCCAGGGCCTTCACACTGAGCTACATCCCCAGCCCTTTTTGCTTTTTCGTTTGAGACAGTCTCACTAAGATGCCAAGTTGCCCAGACCAAGCTCGAACTGGTGACCCTCCTGCCTCAGGCTCCCGGAGTGCCAAGATTACAGGTGGGCACCACCACACCTGGCCCTGTGCCATGAGTTTTGTTTCTTCTGGGTTATCTCTCAGTAAGGATCATCTCCATGTGGCAGGGGAGCCCACTAACAGGTTAATCCAACCACGATCTCTGAGTATGGCAGTGCATCTTGGGAGCTTCGTTTCCCCTGGGTGTGTTTGATGACCAGGGGATCGAACTCAGGACCTTGTGCTTGCAAGGCAGGCAGCGGAACCACTGGGCTAAATCCCCGGCCCAACACCGAAGCCGTTCAAGTAAGCATTACTCTCCGCATCTCCAAGCGCGTGCAGCAGCCCAAGTCCAGCCCCACTGTTTATCCTGGTGCCACGCCCAAGCCCACACCGAAACACCCAAACGGCACACATTGCTTCTTTAAAGTGACATCTCTCTGACACTTGGTGGCTTTTTAGATATGCACACCCTTGGTGGCTTGGGCAGTTTCTGAGCATTCCTAAAGTGGCCACGAAGATTTGAACCTCTTCATTTGCATGATTTGGTCAGGGTTGGGAGGTCAAGAGAATAGTGAAGCATTTTCAGGGTCTCACTATGCAGCAGAGGTTGGCCTTGAACTCATGACAATCCTCTGGCCTCAGCCTCCTGCTGGGAATACAGGTGTGTGCCACCACACTCAGCTGTGGTTTTTGTTTTTATCTTTTCCTTTCTTGTGTTTGGCTCATGACTTTTCCTAGGAGGTGATGGTTGATTGCTCATTTATTTACATGATTGTTTCATTATTTAGCTGAAGTAGTTCTGTGAAGCCTTTTTCTGTGTGTGTGTGTGTGTGTGTAACTTCTAATGTCCCTGCCCAGATTTTTCCTCCTTGTCTTTATCCTTCCACCTTGCTCCTGAGGGCCAAAACCCCCCTGAGCCCATTGGGTGTTTACCTCTCACGATGGATTCGTGTGTGGCTCAGAGGCTGCCAGCTATGACCGTTCAAGGAGTTTGATAGCAGGGACAAGTGGCCTGGGGACTCCTTCTCTGGTCCATGGGAGAAGCGGCCTTGGGCATGCACAGTCCTCCTGATTCCCGGAGATGACTGTGATGCTGCTGTTTTTGTTTCTTTGTTTTTTGGTACTGGGGATCGAACTCGGGTCCTTGCTTGCAAGGCAAGTGGAAGAACCACTGAGCTAAATCCCCAGCCCCTGTGATGTTATTGTTAAGCCTGGGTTCCTGAGAATCACTGCTGGAAAAGACTCATCATTGTTTGCTCAGGGTTTAAACCCCTTGTCCCAGGGAGGTCGCAGCCCTGGTGGGGGGTGGTCTGTGTGTGGCCTGTGGGATGTTTTCGGGGACCCCTCGTCCTGCACTGAATCTTCCTAAGTGGGTGTGGCCTGTCCTGTGAGCAGTCTTCCTGACCCTAGAGTTGACTGAGTCACTAAGATGACTGGACTGGGCTTGCACTCCTGCCTCAGTCTCTCAGCATGCCGAGGTTACAGGTGTGCCACGGCCCTGCCAAAATGCCCTTTCTTACCATGCTGCTCCCATCTTGCTTTGGGTGAAGCTAATAACCGCTGTGTCGCCGCATCATCAAAGCGTGCACAAGACGGTCTCGGGGCCTCAGGACAGGCACTGCTTGGCTAGGGAGCAGAGGACTGGTTTCTTTGGTCATGAGAAGGGTGCTGGGGAAGCTTCCAACCTTCTCTGGCCTCCATCTTCTAACTGGTCCCCAGAGACAGGCTGGTGATTTCTAGGGCCCTGGCCATGCTAATTTCCCCTCGGGAAACCCAAATGTGTGCTCCAAGAACCTGGTGTCCTAGTCTGATACCATTGCCTGGGACGCCGTCTGCTTTGGAGGGTGAGGCTGGACACAGGTACCCAGCCAGCAAGAGGGCGGGGCCCTTTAAACCCAACCTCATTCCCTCAGGCTGTTGCTATGTACAAGATCAACTTCCTTAGCAACCACCTGGCCTCTTAAGGGGGCCTTGGACCGTGGTCGCCCTCAGCCATGGCTCCAAAAAAGAAGGCAAACAAAGGAGACAAGGAGCTTGACAGTAAGAAGAAGAAAGGGGGCAAGAAGGATCCCAGTGTGGCCACCAAGACCACGGAGGCGCCTTTAGCGATGGAGATGCAGGAATTCTACCTCAACCAGATCCGAGACCTGGAGGACAGGCTGGCCCGGTGGGTGGAAGGCGGGGAGGCTGGTGGTGCTCGACCAAGGGACTCCAGACCTGTATCCTGGCCTGCATGGGATGTCCAGGCCCCATTACCACTTCCGGTCTCCTTGTAGGTGACATAAGGAGGCATCAAGGTTTGAGGGCACGTGGGGTTTCCCAGCCCTTCCCAGCTCCCAGAGCCGGGGAACGCAGTGTATGGAGGAAGCCTCAGCCCCAGCAGGCCCCAAGGGATCACAGTTTACTCAGGGAGAGTTTAACCTGTGGGGTGGATGGGTAGGTCGGACTCCTGGAGCTGGGTGGGCCATGCATCCCCCCAACAGTGGCCCAGGTGCCTGCTGACTACCTAACTGCCACGGCCCACCGTTTCTTCAGGGCGGGCCTCAGTTTCTCCCAGTGTAAATGAGGAAGGCTGACCCTCCCCTCCGTGACGTGACATTCTGTCTGGGGCTGGTTCTGGGTGTGGCGTGTTTGGTGAGGAGGGGATCCTCTAACCCTTAGTTTAGAGATGCGTGCCCGTCATTCTTCCTGTTTTATTTATTTGTTTGTTTTCATTTTTTCCTGGTTTTTTTTTTTAATTTTTTATTTATTTATTTTTTTCCTGTTTTAAAACGAGCTTCCTCCCAAATGTGAGGCACCAGCCCGAGTCTCAGGGTGCCAAGTGCGCGGCAGCCCTCTGCCCATGCCTGAGGCTGCAGGTGGTCACAGGGTTGAGTCTGCACCAGGGGACCCTGTGCTGGTGTCAGCAGGAAGCTGGATCCTGACACTGCGAGCTACCGGCAGCACACCTCAGTTCTTTGACGTGAGATTGCAAACAAGACGTGCAGGCTGTTGTTTATCGCATAGGTGGGGTTGCAAAATAAGCGGGAACATGCATGAGGGTGGGCAAGCGCCAATACGGCAGTTGCACTAAAGGAAGTCTTATGATTAACTGGGTCTTTGATTTATTTTATTTATTTATTGAGACAGAACCCTGCCATGTAGTTTAGACTGGACTTGAACTCACTGTGTAGCCCAGACTGCCTTGATCTTGCGGTGATCCTCCTGCCTCAGCCTCCGGAGTGCTGGGATTACAGGCGTGCACCCCCATGTCCCCCTCCCTCAACTGAGTCTGTCAAGGAATTGCCTTTCTTTTCTCCCAGGTCATTGCTCTTCACAGGGAAAGCAGGCTGTGTTCACCTTCTAGGTCCTTATTTACTCCACAGGTGGATGTTTTGGGTTTGGTTTATTCTGAGACCTTCAGGTTTTTCCAATTCCTTGGCATCACCGTGGTCTGGACTCTGTACCGGCCGGGACCTTATCAGCACATGCAGAGGATGTTACCTTCTCTTGAGTTAAAGTTTAAAACCACAAGCACAGGGAAAGCAGGCTGTGTTCACCTTCTAGGTCCTTATTTACTCCACAGGTGGATGTTTTGGGTTTGGTTTATTCTGAGACCTTCAGGTTTTTCCAATTCCTTGGCATCACCGTGGTCTGGACTCTGTACCGGCCGGGACCTTATCAGCACATGCAGAGGATGTTACCTTCTCTTGAGTTAAAGTTTAAAACCACAAGCTTGTGTGGCTTTTACCTAATGTGAT